ATCCAAATATTAATCAAATATTTTCTTTTCTTCTTCGTTTTATTATATAATTGTTTTTCTTCAATTTTCTCGCAGGAACTTCACTTCGCTAAATTTTCAATTGATTTTCACAGAGATTTCCACTTGACATTCTCTTCTTCGAAAGGAAGCTGATCCCATTTTGGTTATCATTCGCAGGAGTTCGCACTTGTTCCAATTAAAATAGATTTTATTTTTAACTATCTTGGAACGTTTGCTTCTTTATCGGATAATATCTCCGGCTTCGCTCGTTGTAATCTGAAGAACTCGCGAATTCGATTGCGCGCAATCGATTATACGGGGACCGGGCCGACTCGGGGACCACCGGTGTGAACCACCGGTGTTGCTCGGGCACCGTGTATGCGTCAGCGTCACCGTGAATGGACTGCTGCTTACCCAGCATTCCGTCAGATTGTACACACGCTAGATACGGGCCCCGCGAGTAGGGCGACCGCAGGAGGAGGAAGAAAAGATGTGGCAGAGGAGAGGGAGTTGCGGGGGAGCGGCTCGGTGTGATCTTGATGACGAACATAGCGGTGGGTGCGATGGCACATCTGCACTCAAGATCCGGCGAAGGGAAGAGGAGGAGATCCCAGTTGACCCTTTCGCTGTGACACATCGGCCTGTTTCTTTTTAAATTGCACGGAATGTGCTGCAACTGCGATATATCGCGTTCTTTCATTTAATTAGGACAATGTAAATTACACATTTCGATCGATTGATCGTTTTGTAAGGCTTTCCTTATACGAAGTAGTTTAAGAAATATCGTAGTACAAAGAAATGTTCACCTTCAGTGTCTTATAAGTATCTCTATCGAAAGAGAGATTAAAATGTTTCTTATCTTATTTTGATTTTCTGTCTTGATTGCTTGAAAGACAGTCATTTAATGTAAAAAGAGACAAATATCCTTCAAAGATAAAAAAAAAGGCCATCGTGAAACTCGTGAGTCATACGCGGATATGTACGAGGTACATGTATAACAACAAGAGTTAATAATCAGAAACAATTAAATGCTACATTAAAGATATAAATAATGTAAGTATTAATAAATGAGACAATTAATTTTATTCATTTTATTATAATATGTTTAAACGAAATATTTTATGAGAAAATTTTTAAGAATATTTATTATTTGAAAAATTGTTAAAAATATATCAGATAAAATTAAAAAATTTAAACGGAATAAGTTGCCCGATTAAAAATTAACTATGTTGCGATAAATACAAACCGCAATATTATACATATAAGCTCATGGCGAACCATATTTGGTACCAAATTCGCGTAAGAACTCGTACTCGGACCTACTTGCGGTCAACTGATATCTAAGATCGCCACTCTTTATTAAGTGGGCGCGTTTATTACGTAAGAAACTGAAGACACGGTGAGGAGAGTGAATTAAACCTAACGAAGTGGAACCGACCAGCGGCATTAATTGGTATGACTAATCGAACGTCTCGTTAGTTTCAAAGGAAACCCGCATCCAGCCGCGGTTGTCCGGATTTAATTCCATCGTCCAAAACTCTAACTTTTCTATTCAAGATCTATTCTTGTAAAAGAAGATTGATATTATGGATGTAATTTATTTACGTCAAATATAACAATCAATCCATTTATGGATATAATACTAATAACACGTTTGTGCAGCGTCCTAGATTTGCCGGATGCTCTTCCGGCGAATAATAGATACACAATATGATAGATTAAAAAATATCAATCATCACAAAGCAGAGAGATTATTGTAGAGAATTAAAGAATTATCAACTATTAAATTTTATAATAAAAAAAGACTAATTTTTAATTAATCAAAAATATGTAATCACAAAAATATGTAATCACAAAAACATCAAAAGATAGATATTTTGTTCAGAGAAAATTAATTAATTAATTTCTTATGTTATTTAAAACATTAATAAATTGTATCCACTAATTGCGATATTAGCAGATATTCTTACACAGATTTTATTCACGAACTCTATTAATTCAAAATTTACAGTAAATAAATATTTACTCAATAAAAAAATGTGATACTTAAATCAAATTGATGGTTCTTGCATCAAATAAATATATGTTTACATTTAGTAAATATTTAATACTATTCAAACAAATATTTATTGAAATTTAGTACACATTTTTTCCACTGTACTTTCCTACAGCCGGAGATTTCAGCGATCCTCAGAACTCAGACAAGCAGCGAAATGGGGAAACGCACTTCCGACTCGCACGCTTCCGCTCGCGATCGTTTGTGCGCAGCTGGAAGGCTCTCCCCCTCACTCCCACTACTAACAAAATGCAATTATTTTTAAAAAGGATGTAGGGACGCTCTCGCCACGGTTTCCAGGGGACGGTACACTCCCGATCATCAGACATGTAGGTGCTTTACCACAAGTGGCATATCGGCGACATGGGGCTGACTGGCACCGTTTTAATACTTTCGCTATCACGTCGTCGACCATGTAACATCTCAATTTACACAATAAATTATTTATAATAAGATTGACGACGGTCTCATTCGGTGCTTATCTTATTTTTGTAAAATTTAACGCAATTATCTCTTATATTACATTTCGATATGTCGCAAAAAATTTCTATCGTAATAAATAAAAGATGATCAAAAAATGTCTTCTAATTAACAAATTGATTACCAAAAGGAAATTATCTCGACAGATGGATAAAAGGAGGAGTCGAATTTGGCGCAAGCGCAGCATCCGCGAAAAGTGCATGTTCTTGTATACACACTGATTCTTGCTAATAATTCCGTCAGTCCATTCGTGAATTTTATCAGATCCGCTTCGTTCGCACATCTGTTAACTCTATTCCTTCTTTTTGTGTTTCCTTGTGTCACGAATTAGCAAATAAATTTGAATTTAACACCATCATAAAAGTAGATCTTCTCGTTACCGTAAATACATTGCATCGATAATATCAAGAAATTGCGACAGATGAAATTTATAGTTTCCCAGAAGAAACCACTTGATTCTGCAATGCCAAAGTCACTATGAGAACCAACAAGACGAGAAATAAATCGGAAACGCGACTAACGTCATCCCGGTTTCGAAAGGAGCGAGAAAAGATCGTCACGAAGATCTTAAATCACTATCGGTAATCATACCTGTCAATGAATCAGAATCAGTGGTTTTTATTTTTACAAAGGTAAGCATAATGCCGTGGAACGAAATAAAAATCTCTACTATTTATTTGAAACAATTCTTTTGTTAAACAGTTGAAAGCAAAATCGCGTTAAAATGTTTTCTCTCCATTGTCTCTCTGTTCTTTATCAATGAACTCTCTGAATTGGTATATAATAGTATGTAATAAGTTATGAAGTGAATTAAATAAACTACATTTATTTCACTTTCAATTTATTGCATTGATACCAAATCAAAAAAAGAAAATCAAAATGATTTTATTTAAATCATGTCATGAAAGTCAAAATGAATTTTTTGTTACAAAATTTGATTGTTTATTGACGTTAAGAATCAAAATGAATTTTTTTTGTTGATGTTTATATGTTCTTTAAGGTTCAGCAATCTAGAAAGTTTATCGATAAAAAAACAGACAGTGTTGTTAATTTTTAATGTTTTATATTACGTTTTTGTCCGCTAATTCCAATGCACCTAGAGAAAGCGACTTATAATTTGTGTGCGAAAATTGATATGGCTCTCGGCAATGATTGGTGACTATACGGACTGTATATGTATGAACTGATCATCGATACTCTGCGAGACTACAGGTCGCGAGGCCGGACCATAGAAACGTTTGAGAGTTTACTCTCTCGCGAAAGAGTTTATCGTCTCAGGTGGCGAAAATAGATCTCTCTGTTCCTTTCCGACGCACTGGCACCGTTGGAAGAAAAAAGAGGCGTGCTGGATCCAACACATAGACACGCGCGAATGTTCACACAAAATTCGCGCCTCTGAAACGACAAAACATGTGTCGGTCGTTAAACGGGATCGTGTTCAACACAACGAAGAATTAAGGAAAAAAAAATTTCGTACATTTCCAGACTAGAGCCATGTAAATTCTGAAGCACATCTCTTACCGAGAAACTTCCTTAATTACATACTATGTAAAGGTATAATTATATTGGATTGGGGAAAAAGTTTCTTCGTATTTTTTAATTCAAAATTGTATATACAATATCTTCGTCAAAAATAAATGAAATTTCAATTTAAAAAGAGAGTTTTAAAGCTTGAAATTTCTACTTTCGAAAAATTACTATATTTTTTCAGTTTCTGTGAGTTTGATAATTTTTACATCAAAAAAACTGCGAGCTGAAAAAGATGAAAATTTTTCTTTTCACTTTGAGGATCTCTCACGTGTCCAAAAAAAATTTACAAAAATTTTCGACTACCTATCGTAAAAGTTCGAAGCTTTTCCTACAAAATCATTTTTTTTAAATGTTCCTATGATTTTTTGTTACTGAGTTATTCGCGAATTAAGTAAAGGAGCATTTCTAACTTTGATTGCTCGTAACTCCGATAAAAATCATCTCACCGCAATTTAAAAAACAGATTCTTAAAGCTAAAACTTTGCTCTAA